GCTATTTCCTGCTATCCCGGAGGAGCCGTGATTGAAGTTTCGGAGGCGCGACGAATACTCGTGTATCTATCGAAAACATCGCACAAAGCCGCCCGATGCGAAAATAACCTCCAATATTCACGAAGTTTCCACAGGCTTGTCACAGAACCGTCGACGTTGTTTGTGCCTTCTCGAGGATAAGGCTGGAACATTTCTGTCCTCCCTGCGTCGAGGGCGTCTCAGGGCGTCTAACCTTTGCGGTCTTTTTTTTCGGCTCACAGCACGTTCTTCAGGTGCTCTTTTCCTCCCTTATCCCGGATCCTGCATCCAACATGCGGTCTGCTGCTCATAGATAAGATTAGTCAGGAGCTTACGACGACAATTGAGCAGGCGGCAACTGTTGTGTCGTTATGCCCGCCTGCTGTCTTACTCGCTTTCCTCCATAGCCTTCAGCCCGGGGCATTCCGTGTTTTGTGTTTCTTCTTGGCCAGAACGTTTGCCCACGTATGATAAACGCCGGGGGTCGCCGCGGAGCGCCCTCGACGCTCTCCAACCGTCGGGAAAGATTCCGTTCGAGAAGATGCGCAATGCTTCGCTCGCGCTCGGCTCGAGATGTGATTATTCCTATGGATCCCTTCAATCGTCGAGAGCCGCGCGTATGGAAAGGATAATTCGCCGTTCTTGTTGCCAAGTTACCGCGTTACAGTTGTTTTCCTCTTGAGCTCCGATCCTTAACGTTCCATCCAACGTTTGGATGGGAGGGATCCTCCCCTGACGTCTAACGAAACGAAAGCAGAATTCCGGACACCCGGGGACTGGCGACCGAGTCCATCAACTGCGATGAGGGGACTCCCCGTCCGTCCATTCTCATCGCTCTATTGTTTTCCCATTCCAGAAATTCCCCGTGAGGTCCGATCTCGCTCACGTACCGAGAAGCATAGACAGCGACTCGGACCATTTCCTAGCCATCGGCGGTGTTTCCGATAGACTGGCCCACCGAGACCAGAGCCGAGCAGAGGGTTCGCCCCTCACAGCGCACTGCCGATCAGGGTCGAGCCGGACTCCACAACGGGCGCGGGCCAACACCGGCTCGACTACGTACAACATCACATAGTACCTGGATTCTCCGCCGCCATGGCCGCTCTCTCGATTCCCCCGTCCCACCTCTGGCTCGTAGTTGTCTGAGTGAGACCGTGGAAGGAGGCAGCTCGGATCGGTCACGCCACCGAATATTATAATCCATTCATCCATAGCTTGTTCCGTACGTTCATATGTAGGACAGACCGAGTACCGAAAATACGGCCGCTCCGCCGGACAAAGAGACGCACCAACGATAAGGAAAAGGATCAAGCAGTCAGACGAACAGACGGACGAGGGAGCGTAGGCTGCCACCATCTGCTTCCATCTGAAAATGCCCTTTTCCTCACTCGTTATTCTCCCAGCCCCCGATCGCTCGACCCTGGTCCCACTGTCCTTCTCCTTGTTCTCCTCCTTCTCCCTCATCATCGTCCTTCTGTCGTTGTCGCCGCCGCCGAAGCTGCTGCTGCTGCCGCTGATGCCACTGATGCCGTCGTAATCGCCGTTCATGGCCTGCTCCAAGCTGTTTGCCCGCCCTGGGCTCGTTTCGTTAGAGTTGTCCATTGCCGTCACGTTATCAAGATCATTCGTAGGTCGTACTATCGAAGGCCGGCCCGTTCAATCACCGCTCGACTCCGTTGACGGAACGAACAGCTGCATGAGATCACGCGGGGAATTTCCCTTCGGAAAACAGAATCCTTCGCGAGGATCTATCAATCAAATTCAGTTTTTTCTTTACGATATTCCTGTTGATTCTTCAAGCCCAATTCGCGTCGCAATGGTGACGCCGACGGAAACAACGGACGAGGATTATGACGGAAGCGATCTTGAATCCATTTGAGTTCAGCTGATTGCGACGGATGCGCACCTGTCGTGACTCGCGGCCCTCCACATTTTCTCTCTCGACGTCTTCTTTGCAGCCCTTGAAGTCGGGTCAGCCTTTCGGTCACTGAGTCAGCCCGTTCGGCGGAATCGTTCGCCCGCCGTTCAGCAGGCCGGCCGAACGCCCAGGTACGGCTTTATTCCGGGGATTCCTCCTTTCGATTCTGCGTGGTGTGGCTCCGCGATACCGATCACAGCGTAACGGGACATCCTCCGTCGCACGCTTCGAAAGTCGGGCCGCGTGCTCTAGCACTAGCCGACCATATCTCTTCTGACGGGTCCGCCTCGGACGTGGAATCGTTCGCTCTAAGCTGAAAACCCGCAGAACGTTACGCGAACCGAGGACACACGTAAACGGTGGGGTATCCGGTCGATGCGTTGTTCGTCTGTGGATGCGGTTGTTGTCATGTTTCTATCCACAATACTGGCTCGACGGAATGCCGAGGGGAGGGGAAACGGACGCGGCGAAGAGGCACCGCTATCCAACCGGAAGAAAACGTACCACTGATGCCTGTAGTAGAAGTATCGCCCGCAGTAGTAGTAGTAGTAGTAGTAGCGATGGTGGTGAAGGAAAATGTAGAGGAACCGACGAGGCTGACGGCGGAGCGTGGAGGAAGGAGGGCAGAGGGGCGGCCGGCGAGCCGGCCGGTCGGAAGGTCTACTCGGCGAGCTGGAGGCTCTTCCCGATGCCCCAAACACGGCGGAGACCAGAAGAGAGGCGAGCGAGCCCTCGATTGAAAATCTCCGTCGCTGCCGAGGTGCCGGCGCCGGCGCGATGTCGACAACTCCGAGCTCCAGACTCAGAATGGAAAGCCATACATTGATCACCAATCAGATCTATTTCCCGGGCAATCTTTCTTCTTTCCGCGACCGGTTAACGCCGTTTTCCAGAATTGCTCCGTTGCTTTTCTTTTCCTCCCCCACTTCCGCCCCCTCCCCAACTGTCGCTCCAGGACCTTCTCGAAGTTCCTTCTCCTCGCTGGCTCTGCTTTCTCACTGTCTTGTTTTCTCCAGGCTGACCATCCGAAGGATGGTGGAATCAATGGAGAGCTTCGCTTCAATTCGAGCTATATTTGTCGGGAAGCTGAGAGGCTTCCACTCGACGTAGTATATGGAGCGATGACAGGGCTCCTTGCTTCCGTCTCTCATACGAACTTGAGCAGTTTGTGCATGATTGCCGGCCCGGACCGGAGCCCAGGGATCGAGAAGCACAAGGTAGGACAGGAGAAAGGGGCGAAAGCTCAGGCTTTTGCTCCTGATGCGTCACGAGCAACAACTCGTTGTCTCTATGATAAAACTCCGTCGACTGGGTTCCGACGGAGTGCTCGAAGGAGACGGCGGCTTACGAGAGAATCGGGGTCTCAATATACCAGACCGTGATCGGAAGGCGTGAGTCGGTCCCACCGGAGAAAAACCAGCAAGATATGTAGGTATATCACTCTCGTCACGGCCGGTAGCGGAAGTGGATTAATACCAATCTCGAATTATGAACTCCCCGTAGCTGTCCCGCTCGGTCGGAGGGATAAGCTTTCCCGCGCCGGGGAATCCGGTGAAAGGCTCTTGGTGCTGCACAAATAAGGATAAAGGGCAGGACAGCATACGGCTGTCCTACGCTTCCGACAGGGACACGCGAAACTCTTCGACTCCGCTTCAGATAATCGGGGTAGCCTGTCCGTCGTGAGCAGACACCCTGCCTGCTCGCCTGCGATGGCAGGTGGAGGAGCGCGCGGTGCAAGCGGAAGCCTGACTGCGTCTCCTTCAGATGTGGGGGACGCAGCTTCCGAGGCAACTGGAGGCCTGTCCTGGAGCGGCGAAAGCGGAAGGACGGTGTACTCGCAGCCTCTAAGGCAGATGGAAGAATTCATGGAGGGAAAGACAGTTCCCAGCTTACAATTCGCAAAGCAGACGCAGAGGAATAGGACGAAGGAGGCGTTCCGGGCATTGCGTGGCCGAGCAACACAAGGCAAAAGCTTGTCCTGCTCACGACCGGGGCTTTTATTCGTGGACTTGAGTAATCCGACCGGAAAAAAATGCAGGGTATTTTTCTCTCGGATGCAGCCACAGAGTCAGGTATTTCGGGAAAAAGGAAGCTGCGTCCTTCCGTGGAGAAGAATTGTTTCCACGACGGTTTCGCCAACGAGCGGGGGATCTCGCCTCGTTTCGAACGGCCCCGAAACTTGTGGGAGGCCCCTAATCACAAGCCGGGCGAAGAGAAAGCGGTTTCCGTAAGTTCTCAAGACACGACCGGAGACTTCCAGTGGACCGGGGGAGTCTACGAGACTTCGTGGAGCATCGATTGGTCAAAAGTACGGTCGGAAATCGGAGTTGAGTTTTTCTGGGGGATGGTGGTTCTTCTCTTGAGCACTTCCTCGGCGACGCCAGCCCGAACTCAACAGAAACAGGTCGGGACCGTCTCAGGCTGAGAGTGAGCACGTGTTCGAGGATGGCGGTCCTGAGTTCTCCCGATCCGATTGGACTCAAGTTCAATTGGTCGAGGAGTTCCCTATTCGTCCCCCGGCCGTACTTGCCGAACGCGGATGGAGACTATGCGAGGACGGAGACGGCAGCTACGTCAGCGATCACATGCACGAGGACGGGAGCGGCAACAGCGGCAACAACAAAATCGACGGTGAAGCGCGAGCGGCTTTCCCGGTTCGGAGCTCGAGTTTTTACGAGTTCGGCGATCATTCATTGTCACTGAAGCCTCCCGGTCGTCCCTCGACGCGGTCAACTCCATCGACGAATGAGCACGACAATTCGAACAGCAAACTAAATATCGTAAACTCTGTTCCTTATCGAAGCGATGATGTCTCGCAAATAACTATTTATCTCCATCGAGGAATCCCCACGGAGGTAGAGTTTGAGCAACGGGGGTGGATCGGAAGTATCCATCGATAGATAAGCATCGCAGAAAAGCGTGAAGCTTCGGCTCTCCGGCTTCTCTCCTTTGGCTTCGGGAGCTCCGACATTGACTCGACGAGCTATCTATAGGTGAGGACGGAGTAGACAGAATTCTCCTTTCTGGGCGGGAAGTACGGAAGTAGTCAAGTGACATGTCTTACCTTGGAAACTTTGTCGAAGATCTCGAGCTCTTCCTGATCGACGTACGTGTGAGGAAAGTAGACCTCGAGCGCGTGGATTCCTACGTCCTCGGGCCAACATCCTCCACAATCTCCGTTTTGCTGCGAAGTCATTCTGATTCGCCCGCTGTTTCGATGGTGGAGTTATCAGACGATGTCTACGGACACTGCAGAATCGGAATTTAGCAATCCTCCGATGGCTGTGAAGGAACAAGCGGGAAGTTGTTAGTGATACAGTTTGTCGAAAACGACAGTGATTTACCGGAATGTTGTACGATGAGTAATCGTCTCAAAGACTGCTCAGCGAACAGAACGGAATACTTTCGTCGTCTGATCGATAACCGAACTTTCCGCCAGAGTTCTCATAGTTTTCTCGACAGAGGCGATCCCCGTTCCAGGTGGCGTTCGGAGGTATGAGCCGCCGCCGGTCAAGGTCGTCATGTTTTGCACTTCGCCAAGGGTCTCTCTCGAGTTGATCAATCATTCGAGATATTCACAATCTACTACGATAATCGTTTCGGGTATCGACTCGCGAGGCGCGCAGGATCGGAAATGCTTGACCAGGAACTGCCCGGGTCCGCTCAAAATGTTTCGTTCTGCGTCGCATTCACTCTTTCGATAGACGGTTGCCCAAGCAAAATATTGAAAGAAGTGCTCGAGTCGAACAGGCGCCGCCGCCGCCGCCGTTCAAGTTATCGACGAATCGAAGTGTGGGGTCTCTCAGCCTTCGCGACCTGGGCTTCGAGTCGGAAAGGCGAGAACGGCTCCGAACAGTTCGGAGCTCCGAGCTTGGACCTCATGGAACGACCAATCCAGAAATGCCTCAACGGGAAATGCTCTGGGAGGCTCCTAGAACCGAGAACATATCCATATTGAACCTCGATCAAGGGGGAAAGTGCTGAACGATATTGGGGTGCGTGAAATTGAACAATATCCGTGTTAGGGTCATTCACTTCCCCGGTCGAGCAGAAACGTTTCTTTCGCCCGGGAGTTGTGCGACCATGGAAAATTCCAGAGGACCGACTCTCAATTATCTCGGTATTATGATTCCGCACCTCTTCAGGTGAAGTTACCTGATGTAACATGATGACACGTGACTACTCATCGCCCGCAATCATAAGTGATTCATTCGATTCTTCATATTATCGAATATCAATACATAATGTATTTATTGAACTTGAAAAATAATCCTTCGTCTGCTCCATCAGAAACTCGATGGTTGATCGAAACCCAGTCATGAATCCAATCAAAGTCTGGATATGCAAATTCACACACGTTCATGGGAACAGAAGGAACGGGGCACTCGCCAGCACCAGATCTGCAGGGACGAAGATGAAGAAAGGCTCCCGAAGAGAATCTCCCTCAGCCCGATGTCACGGCGGACCGCATCGTTCATCAGAGTCAGAGCGGTCTCCAATCTGCACCGCCGGCGGGGACAAATAAAGAACCCAGGCAAGAAGCTGCAGGGACTGTGAGCGCGTATTCATTTTCTCATGCATCATGTCGCCCTGCAGGAACAAGAAGAAAAAGGAGAGAAGCCCATCATGATCCATGATTTACAAGAGCGTCGACGGCCTCGGGCTTGCTGGTTCGCTTGCATGCCTGGCTTGTCGGTTGGTTGGTCGGTCGGTCCGTGGACTGCCCCGTCGTGCCCCAGGTTGGTTGGCTGCTTGACTGGATTGCTCCTGGCCCGGATCTAGTCCGCCTGCATATTCCCACTCCCAGCCTGCTCCTGTGGCGCCCCTCGGCACGTTCCGTACACACTGTTCCAAATAGAATAACACCAGCGGACGAGTACACAGTAGACTTGCAGCGGGGCCTTCCAGCGAATAGTGGAGCCTTCCAGCGAATAGTGGAGCCATGCAGCCGATATGACGCTGATTCCTAGCGTTCAGTTTGTTCGGCTCCATTGGCCTCCGAAGGTTGTCCGACCCCCGGCCGGCAATGTGGGCTCGAGTCAATACGTAGACGACTGGAAAATACTCGTAACGGCAGAATGACGAGCATCGGGCGGGCATGGGGCTGCTGCGCGTTGGTTGGCTGCTTGCTAGCTAGCGCGCTCGCTAGCTCGCCTGCTTCCCCGAGCCGTCAGGATAGAGTTAGCGGCTCAGGAAAGCCAAATCTCACAAGAGATTGGAAGCGCGGAGGGCGGCGAATCTTGCGCTCCCTCCGATCCGCCAAAAAGCAAACAAAATTCCCACCTTGAGAGCGCGCTCACCGGAGAGCCCCACAACGAAAAAAAAGAGGCTAGGGAATGGAATTCCAAGACAAATGATGCGGTATTACCCTTTTCATGAGCGGAATCAAGATGACATAACGGACGGGAGCGGGCGCGGTGAGGTGACAAATGCGACATGGGATTCCCAGGGCTATTTATACTATGGAGGGAAGAGAGAATGGAAGACGAGGAAAAAAGCGGATTCTCTGACACGACGCGACGTGGAAGCTCGACGCGACGTGGAAGCTCGACGCGAACCTGGCGGAGGAGGTCGAATGGTCAACACCGAGTTCCCGTTTTTTTTCCGAGCGGATTTCGAGCAATGCCCCTCTCCCGAATCGGTTCTCTCGAAGAATATAGAAACTGGCCAATTCAGTCCGTCAGAGAGGCTCTCAATGAGTCTATGGAGGGATCACGGCGGAGCGATCCAATGCCGTCTCCCTTAAATCGCAAGGACGCTCTCGCAACAGGCGAACTACAAGAGAACGAGGTTCTACTGTAGTTTTCACACATCGGCTTGCATTGGACATCGAGCTTGATCATCACACATTTTCCTCCGCCTCTTCGCTCGCACCTCGCCTCGTTGCCTTGACACTGTCTGGTTCTCGAGGAGCCACGCAACTCAAGTTTCGAGCCCCGGCTCGACCGAGTACTGTCCGAAATGGGATGATTCCGGAGGGGGCAAGGAATATTCTCACTGGAATCCGGAATTCCCTCCTCAATCTATTATGTCTCGAGATCATTGTCCCATTCCGTCCATTCATTTCGGCTCTCTTCCCTAACTCATCATTCGCGCCATCGGATTCACAGTTGGTCTGACTGAATCGGGTTCATGCTCGGAGTTCTTTGCGTCCGAATCCTTGGCAGGGGAAATATACGTGGTGCGGGAAAACTCAAGTGAACCCCCGGAAAATCCATCTCCCACCGAGCCGCCATCGCGATTTCTATGCTCCCGAAGCCTTGCAGCGCGCAACAACGTAAGGGTTTCTTTCCTCGGAAATTCCAAAGTCGCTCTGCGAGTCAGTGGTCGTCAAGGCTCGTGTCCGTCAAAGTCTGGTGGCACACTTCTACGCTGAGAACAGAACAGGCTTCGTCCTTGGACGGACGGACGGACGGACAGACGGACGGGCGGACGCACGAACGAACGGGTAGTCAGACGGACAGCGTACAAGTGCCTACAATCCTGGCAACGGGCAGACGAGCGCAGAGAGCCTTCCAAAAGTCAGTCGAGTGGGCCATGAAAGAGCATTTTACGACGATTCGAGACAGAACGTTTCCAGCCGTGGGAATGGGAGAGGGTCGAAGGAACTCCGGAGCGTTCTGAAACAGCGTATGTAGCTGGACGCATTCGCTTGCATCATGATACATGCGTGCGAACGGGTCCCTTACATCAGAGTTCTCCAAACTTTTCTCATCGCGGCGAGACGTCCCGCGGATCAAATACACGGGACTCGATGCGTTCCCGAATGGTATTTGGCTCGAGAAGCATCTGCCGCGCTGTGTCTTCCGGTACGAGCTTCCAGAGATTCCGTCGCGAATCCAGAGCTCATGTTCGGAGTTCCTCTCGGTCGGTGCGCTCGAGCTGACTAAGTGAGTTCGTCTTTTCGATTCGAAAATTCGCTGCGGGGTCGTTCGTATCGAGCGATATACCGCCATCGAACGTCATGTACCGCAGAGCGATGACTGCTCACGCTCAAGCGAACGAACGAACGAAGCTAGCTGTCGAATGCTGAGGTCTCGACAGACAAGCAAAACCACTATTCAACCGATCCGTTACGATTCTGTCAGCCACCCAATATCAGCTGTTCCGCGCGTCAGTCTCCGTGCCCTGATTCGAGCGAAGGGAAACCATCCCGAGATCCCACGGTGGGCGCAGCCGAACACGATGTCCCCCGTCCCGCAGCCCGACCCGCGTCGGACTATGGAGGCGTCCACCGAAAGTCGCACCGAATGCCCGGTCGTTCGTATGCCAGCCGGGGAGCCAGAACGGAAGGAATAGAGAACGCCGGACGAGACTACGCTCGAGAGACTTGACTAGTCGACGTCGTCGTCCTTCTTGATGGTGTCGGGAGCAACGACGACGATAGCATCGGCCAACGGCCAGTGGTATTCTGCCGGGCTCGCATGAACGACGTGCCGAGGAAGCAAAACAGTCCTTTACCTGGCGCTCGGACCGCTGTTTCATGCCCCGTTCAAACGTCTGCCATCGATGGGGATCCGCGTGGCCACCGGCGCCTGTCTATTTGTCCGACCGAGCCCCGAACATCGAAGCATCAGTTATTACCAAACACTTGACCGCTACTCAATTTCATGCGAGTGCCTCGCTCAGGAGCCGCGCAGCCATATCGTGACGCGTGCTCGCGACGTACGCGCGATCCGATGTCGAGCTCGCTTCTGCTCGTACGGACAAGAGGAGAACTCGCGGGATTTTCTTCTCCCGGGAACACGGGTGACCTACTCCTCCGGGAGACGGTTTCTGTCCGACTGGAACGTCGGAGCCGTCGAGACGCAGAATATGACATGGACGATTCGCCCGAGTCCGAACCCGAGTGGACATGGTCGTTGTCCGTCCGGGAGCTCCGGGGAGCTCTCCGGGCACGGCCTCGAGCTTTTTCGAAAACGACTTGGATAAGTTGCAGCGGGACAGAAGACAGAACAGCCGGTGAGTCGGAGTTCGGTCGGATGGATTCCGGATCGAAAGTTTCCCTGTAGCGGCCAGAATCAGGAAGTCTTCTACTTCCGATAAAGATAAACTGTCGTTTCGCTCCTCGCGCAGGAGCGTCCCATTCAGGGGAGTCTCCATTGATTTACGATGATCATTCGGGCTAGATTGTTTCTCGCAGGTTTCCGTTCGATGGGGAACGCGCTGCGGCGCATCTCACTTTGGGAACTCGGTGAAAATATGATTCAATTCCGACGGTGTTCTCTGGCCCGGTCCGTCATCCCGGCCGCGCCATCGAACGCGCAAGCGAGAGAGCGAGTGAGCGACTCGCCGAAAGACAGACAGACGAACGAACCCTCCGACCGACCGACCCTCGGCTCAGAGTTCAGAGCGAATGGCAAGGGCAAGCGATCGGCTTCGCGAGACAGACAAGAAGCAGACCCCTGGTAATTACAGCGCCCCCTCTTCTCTCTCTCTCTTCCAGCCTCTTTCTGATGCTGCTCTTCGTCTATGGCCCCATATTGTTTCACGAGTACGTCAACGACGAGCCAGTAGGCTCGACGTCCACCACTCTGTCCCTCGAGCTGGGCAGAAGTGAACACAAAAGCCGAGTCGCGTGCCATCGTCCTCCATCCGACATCTCGTTCAGTCGAATCTATCCTCAAAAATTCCCATAAGTCAGCCAATGGGAATGAGGCACTGGAATGGATCATCGCAACTTCTCGTACTCGTGATCGAACCCACGAATGTCTAAAAAAATTCTCCGAGGCAAATCTATCTGGAATCACAAAGTAACAAATGACAACGACCGCCTCCTCGCAAATCTGTCTTCCTCCGTTCGTTCTCGAGTCTCAATCCCGATTCACATACTACTTGCAGAATGCACATTTGCATCTCCCCCTCCATCCAGATATGCCCCGGATGACTCTTTTCACACCGCAGGCAGAGCTTGCACGCAGAGGGAGCTCAGTAAGTCAGCTATTCTCTTCCCAGAAAAACGGACACCGTGCCGAATACTCCCAGATTGTCTGTTCAGATTAGAGCCGATGCGCTAGCACGTTCTCATGCTCTCCCATGCTCGTGCTCACGCGCTAGAATAGGCCTGGCTTCTCTCATTCCTCCCAGGAGCTGATCGAAATCATTCCTCTAATGATTGTTTCAGTCGATCGCTCTCGAGTCACATCCTCTCGAATATACAGCTCCGTACGGCAACAACGAGCGATCTCTGGGAGGAGGCTCGATTTAGGGGAGATTCCTCACACGGAACTATCGGAGGGAGTTTAGACGTGAATCCTGACAGATGATCTCGAGGAAACTACGGGAGCAGGGCGACTGAGTCTGAAACCTGTGCTCCGTGACTCCAGATATCTGTTCCGGGCAAAGGCGCTCATAGTCCACGCCTTCGAGACTGGCGGAATTTCAGAAATCATTCACGAAGATCACAAACCCCGGAAGCTCTCCACGACTCCCTTAAGCGAGAAGACTGATGAGTCCTGAGGTCTCGGCTTCCCCGGAGGGAATCCGCGCCCTCGGATCAGATGGAGTCAATACCTTTGAATCACTGTAGTGGGTCCGGTTCCCGATGAGCTTCAGTGAACTCCCTCCTGAACATAAGGTCCGGTCAGATGGTGTCTGAGCAGCAAGTCGAGTGATACAGCGAAAAGGTAAATCTCGTAGAGGATCACAACACTCGACAGGAGCTGCGGTGATAGACGCATAACCAGAAGCTAGTCCAGGAACTCGATCGTGAGAGGGTCGTGAGAGAGCGTTCTCTTCACACGAAACGTCACAAAAACACGCGGTAATTCGGATTCACAAAGCTATCCCGAGAACTGCAGGTCTTTCTTTCTCTGTGGTTCCTACACCGAGACGGATCCACTAGGTGGAGCCGAGCGTTCGTATGAGGTGTCGTCGGATCGACGAAAAGTAGCGCGTCCCCGCAGCACGAAACAAAACTGATCGCTCTGAAGAGCTCCGAACAAATCGCTGAGAAGCGACGTTCAGCTAGAAATGGGGGCAGTGAGGGTCACTGTCATTTTGACTGCATCAGAAGCAAGCGAATCTATGATATTTCTTCGCCGCCGGTTCGCTAGCTTCGCCCGCTTATTGGTTCGTTCGTTCGCTCATTCGCTCGCTCGTTCGTTCGTCCGCCGGCTGGTTGGCTCGACTAGCTGACGAACCAACTTGACTGAAAGAAAGAACTACCTGCTGACTCGTTGGCAAAAGTCAGCAAGGCGTAGCTCGGCGCCCATCGGAGCACTGTGGAAAGCGAGGGTGATTTCTCGGGACTGATGATAATGATGATGACGACGACGATGAAGACCGCGGCGATGATGATGAATATTTCCGCAGCGATCATCATCGGAGCCAGCGCCCGCTAGCGGCCACCGGGTCCTATTGCCAACTTGTTCAGATTTGGGCCAACGCACAAAACTCGATCAGCTCCACCGAGATCGGATTTGAGCCGTCCGCCACCCAGAATAATCGGATCAAATCGGACGGTGGAAGTGGCGGAGTTTCCGTATGAATTACTCGATACGACGCGGTGAGCCCGCCGCACGATCTGGCCATCAGCACATGTCGCGAAAATCGACGAATCACAGCGACCACCGACTCACTGACAGACAGGGCGGCGGACAGACGGGTAGCAGACCGTACTCGTTCGATTTTATTCGATTCCCTCTCTCGAACGGAAAAAGGAAGAATCGGAAGGAAACACACAAAGACCGTCTGACCGAACAATGACACTTCTCCGATGATTATGGCCTACCGCCGCGCAAAACCGCATGTCACCGCCCCCAATCACTTACTCACTAGGATTTGTGTCCACAAAGGTTCGTGTCTACAAACTATCCGATCCACCGTGGATCGGTCGGTCGATCCCTTGATCAGTCCGTCCGTCCGTCCGTCCGTCAGTTAGTCAGCCGGTCGGTCGGTCGGTCGCTCATTCGTCACTGGGTCGTTTCAAGGTAGTACATACGATCTGCCCGGAGTCTCACAGAACCAAATGGCAATGGTCGAGAGACAGCGGTCTCGTGGGGAAGTGAGTGAAGTCGATCACGGAACAGCAGCGCAATAATTCCAGAAGCATGAGACTAGGGTACGGTCGGCACGCCGTGCGTTTCTCCACTCACGGTTTGTCACGACGGAGTAAATCCTCGGAGTACAAAAAGAACGATGTTGCTGGCACTCTCACAGTCAGTATATTCAGTGTACAGCCGCGGTACGAATCCGCGGTTCCGTTCTGCCGGCAGACGAAAGCCAACACAATCCGAATCTGACCCCCTGAACTAAATTCGACGTAGCGGAGGATTCACGCTCGCGACGACGTCGACGACGAGCGACGACGTCAAAGAGAAGCGCCACAGAATATCTGCCGCAGACAGACGCTGGTTCGGCGAACAGCGCATGCTCCGTGAGCGGTCCGACCGCACCGTCAAATAACACCAAAGTGGACGTCGCCTCCTGCGTCTACGTCTCCCTAGCGGTACCGATGCCTTCGCTGATTCCGGCGCTCGCTGTCACTGCTGCCATCGAAGGTGGCGGTGGTACTTCCGCTGCCGAAAGCCGATCAAGTAGTTGAATTTAGTGCGGCTTACAATGATTCCGCAAGGAACCGTTCACCACACACCGTGACGACCCATCCGACAATTCAGGAAACCGATCCCGCAGGAAATCTGCGAGATGCGGCGCGGATTCGAGGCTCGATCCTACGGTTCCCATATCGTTTCCGAATCTCTGACTAGTGATCAAGCGGAACTCCTCATTTCCTGCACATGTCGTTCCATCGTGCGACACGTGCTGAATTCTCGTGCGTGGCTCATGCTGTCGATATCGATGGTCTCCGCGACACAATACAACTACTGGTCAGAAGTCTATTGTGAGAATGGCTGAATTCGACCCTTGTATGGAGATGCATGGCAACAGAGTTCTCAGCTAGGTAGCCAGTCTCGAGAATTCCGCCGAGCATGTACAACACAAACTCCATGGACACAATGCCGACAGATTGGCTGGGGCAAGAACTGCTCACCGAGCGTGGGCTAGTTTTTTCACGTCCTTCGGCTCGGATCTGAGAGCCGCATCCCCCCAAGGACAGCTGAAAGACTGCGAGCGTCCCCGGAGGTAAATAATAGATAATTATGTCCAATAAGAAGCCACAGCCTGCTCGTGGTCGGAAAATCAGGCTCTCGGACAGAGGCCGATTCGCCTCCTCCTGCATACGATTCGAAGCTGACCGATCCGACTCTCAGTGAGTCAGAGGCCTGCTTGGACTCGATATTGCGTCACGAGTATTCGAAAACAACATATGATGCGCTCTATGCCGCACTCGTAGAGCTCGAATGATCCTGGCCATGAATCTATGGTATGCAACGTAAGTCCGCGATAGAGCTGTCCCGCAAACAGAGTGATCCAGAGTGGAACGAGTGCCGGAATACTTTGAATACCGCTGCTCTATATATTGTTGTGGGCTTCGGTGTGATAGGTATATATTTCCCCGGGTCAAGTTTATGACGATTGAGCACGTATCCGAGCAAGCGTGTATATGAGCATACAAAGCTGCGGGGTTCTGCTGAGTGCGGGGAGAGCAAGCGACCGGATGCGTCGGTCGGGGGATCGGGACGGAATGACATCATACGAAGGACTCTGGTGGTTGGGGAACGAACCAATATCTCAAGCCTTAATTACAATACAAGCTCCGATGAATATGAGCGTATGCGCGACGGCTGATAAGAGCTCCTGCATATTTTTGCATAGCGCCGCGAATATCCGCTCGTTTCGCGGAGACAATTTGTTCAATCCAATTAGAGCTCGACGATTGCACCAGACTGCCATCCGACGGCGCTTCTGTCGAAAGAGCTCAAGAAACTCCTGAGCAACTCGACCTCTCCCATACCACCGCAAAACCGCGGTCTTCGCTCTCCGAACGCCTGTCTACAACACGGGAAACGAGAACGAGGGGGACCACTCGGAGGAAAACACACCAACCCTGACGAACTTCAGACTAGGACAAAACATATCGAGAATTCATAGACCTTAATCGGAGAATTCGTAGATGGAAGATAATCCATTCGATGGCACCGGAACCTATGCAGGGGACGGAACCGACTTACTGATGCCCGAAATCCAGAAGCTGTACAACCCCCTACCCGTCCACGAGAATATCGAGCACCGAGGAGAAATTCGGTTTGGAGTTTTCTATTACGCCCTCGATGACGAGATCAAACGCCTATTTGGGGCCGATCCGAACGTGGAATGAAGGAAGACCGGCCTGAGCTAGGTAACTCAGGTATATCGAACGATCGGCGGCGACTGTTGCGTTCTACTCCGTGACATCCTCAGGAACCTAGGTATTGCCAGTCAAAAGCCGGAAAGGCTGGAGGAGACTCTCTGAAATCTCAGTCAGTCGAGAGAGTCTGTAGCATGCAGCCGAATCCGCGAGTCGACAGGATCTCGTTGTGCAAGCGTGCGGATGACAGCGGACGGGCCGTATGGGGGTGCCAATCGTCGCGAATCTTCCAGGTCTTATTCCCAACAAACTCTATATGAGAGCTCGTCGAGCCGGCTCCGGAGGCCCCATTCGTTTCGGATTCTTTGTCATGGAAATCTGTCACGAAAGTAATTGTAATATCCCTCGGACGGACTCAAGCTCAACGCGTCATGACAACACTGCGGATTAGAGCTGACTGAATCGAAATCGACAAAATTCTGTTCCAACAACAAGAGTAAACAATCGGACGCATGATTGAAATACTGCAATTAATACGAGTAAAAGCGATTCCTCGATGATAGCAGCAGCAGAGTTCTCCTTCGCTCTAATCGACCGAAGGACTCGATCATTCAGGGTTACTAAGATCTTGTCGTCCTAACTGTGGCAGAACAGTGGTTCGTAATTGTCCCGAGAGCTCGCCACGATAAGCTCTCTATTGTGACAATGCCGACCGCATCTCAATGGAGAAGAACCACTGGCATCTATTTGCGCTCGGGCATCCTCCCCCCATCGAGACTTTTCCGCACCGCTCCACAAAGTTTATGTGCCATGGAGCTTCTGAGCTTGATGATTATCATCATCTCCATCGTGATGATCTCTCTCAGTCAGTGAGACTCATCATTAACATCAGCATTCGCGGACTTCTCTCCACGTGACCTGCGAGTTCCATCAAAAATATCATCAGCACCTCCGTTGAAGAATCGTCTCCGACCGCTGCCGAAGCGAACTGGGGAGGCGTCCGAGACTGCAGGGTAAGACCACCGTTCCCACGCACGCACGAGCGAATATAAAACGAGCTTCCCCGGGAAGACCCGTTCCGTACAGGCACCAGACGACCGGAACAGCTGCTCGCCTCTTTCCCCTCATTTATTATTATTGACTTTTATTTATTTTCGAACTTCAGCGTGCCTGCTCGCTGCCCGCAAACAGAGAGTCCGGGCCGCGCTTATTTCTTTTCGGGAGCCGCTGCAAAAATTGTCCACGTCCTGGACGTGTTCTGTTCGGGCTCGTTCACGTCTCCATCGTTGCGAGGAGTGTTCCATGTTTCTCTCTCTCTTGCAACGACACTTGAGAGAGAATCGAGCGCAATTCGAATGCCCCCGCCTCCCGCTCTCCCTTCCCAGAGAAGGGAAGAAGCCTCCGAATAAATTTCCACCCTACCCGCATCGGCATTTTGCTATCGATGGATAGTTCGAGGCATCGAGAGGGAAGTTATTGGGCGGGAGGTTATGATTAAAGACGAATGTTTCCAAATTGAAAACCCGACTTCCGAATCGCAGACCGTCTATCGAGCGCCTTGCTCAGACCGCGAGTACTCCGTTGAAAGCCGATCATAATCGTTCGAGGGGTTATTAGGGTTTCGTGTCGAGGGAATCCGCGGAAATGCGCCGCAAAGATCCGAGAGCGGGCGAACCGTCCGCTAAGGCGTGAACGAGCAATTGACTCATTCCGAACCGAAGTGGCTGATCGTTGCTACGAGGTTCGGGTTGTGGTGGGACGAAGTGAGAGAGACCGCGCTCGGACGACACGCTGCAAACGTGTTTCTCATTAAGCTGTTCTTCTCGTTTCAGTCCCAATTCCGCCGCACGTCGCGGAAAAAAACCTACTCGCAACTCCATCGGGACTACGATCTGCGCGTATCGCGACCATGCCTTAGCTAAAAACTAAACCTCCACGGGACTACGGTCGACCGCTTACATATAGGAGCCGTAAGAGCTTGACAGTTAAGCCTGCGCATGAAAGAAAAATCAGCACACGGGCTGCAACCGTTTTTCCCAAGAGGGAAGCGTCAGGAATCAGACTTTTATTCTACGTCGAGTGTCGGGAATAGCGGAGACTGAGCGAGATCACATCGTGCCTCGGATCCGACGACTTCTTCTCTCGTCGGTTTCCTCTCAGAAGAAAAATTTCAATTCTTCGGAACGAAGCACGGGAGAAATCGGACGAAAATCGACCTCATAAAAAAAACTCGTGCAGAACATGGAATAAAGTCGGAACGAGAACCTAGGACACCGAGAGGGGTTTTCACATCGTCGACGATCGACTCTATTGAAATACGAAAGCCCCTCTGGATCGCGTCAAAAAACGAGACCGAGTCCCGGTGAATGCTTAACAGCAGTAGACAGGAGCAAAGGAGGATCATCAAGGGAGCGAACTAGCAGGAGTCGTAAAAGAAAGAAACTCGAGCGAGGAGGCTGGTGTATTTGAAACCATTTTTGTCTCAACAGTCAGCAGCCAAGCCACCCAGCCGAGGGTAGATGTTGATTTTTATAGATGATGATTCTCGTTCGTGTGTCATTAGGCTTGTCGTGATCTCACCGTGGCGCTGGCTGCTGCCGCTTTGGAGTGCTGCAAATCATAGTCTGCGCAGTTCGTTCGTTTTCCAGTCATTCACCTATTCGTTCGCACAGCAGACGGACCATTTCTCAATCCACGCTCCATTGAGGGAAGGTTCGCGATGTCGCCGCCCCTACGGCAATGATAGATTCGATTAATGCTAGGTGAAGAGTACCGCGCTTCAAATGAAGCCTCAGCCTCGCCGATAAGCCTCGTCGCCTCGTTGCGGAGGAGACACCCTCGACGGGTCCAGAGTCGCGACAATGTCTCAATGAGCGTTCAGGCAGGCCAGCCCCCCTCCCCTTCGGGGAGCCCCCTGAATCAGACAAGAGAGATCTACGAATCCAAAGACAGGTCGAGCGTATTTAGGCATGACGGTCTGACATCGATCGAGCGACTGAGATGAGTAAAGCCTTTTGACAAATCTCCGCTAACGGTGGGAAAAGCCACGGCTGATGCTGATGATAGCAGCAACA